GTAACTTTCTTTCCTTCTTGGTGTATTATGCAGGACCTAACGACGAGGACGGTGATTGGTTTGGGTAAGCAAAGAGGCGGGCTGTACTACTTGGTGGCCTTGGCTCCTGCACAATCTCAGCATCCTCGGCGACTCTGCAACCTTGTGCTTTCACCTACGGAGCTATGGCATCGGCGTTTGGGTCACTTGTCAGCCCTTCGTTTAGATTTCATGTCCAAACAATTGTTACATTTCCCTTTTGCATCTAATAATGCCTGTGATGTTTGCCCTTTAGCCAAGCAACATCGATTACCTTTTCATGTTAGTTCTATTTCTTCTAATAAACCTTTTGTTTTGATTCATTGTGATATTTGGGGACCCTTTAAAGTTGCATCTACTTCTCGAGCAAAGTATTTTTTAACCATTGTAGACGATTATTCTCGCTTCACATGGATTTTCCTTATGCAACACAAAAATGAAACACAATCTATTCTCAAGAATTTTTTTTCATTTGTCAAAACTCAATTTAACACTTCTATTCGTCAAATCCGTGTTGACAACGGTGGGGAATTTTTTTCACTTCGTGACTTCTTTAAAGATCATGGAGTTATTTACCAACATTCTTGCGTTTATACGCCTCAACAAAATGGGGTCGTAGAACGCAAGCATCGCCATATACTTGAAACCGCTCGTGCCTTGCATTTTCAAGCTAATCTTCCCCTCCATTTTTGGGGTGAATGTGTGCTCACAGCCGTTCATCTCATTAACCGTCTTCCCACACCCATTCTTTCCAAGAAAACGCCTTTTGAACGTTTATATTCTACACCTCCTACTTTTTCACACCTTAGAGTCTTTGGTTGCCTTGCTTTTGCCATTGATGTTAATGTGAATCACAAATTTTCTCCTCGTGCCCACAAATGCATTTTTATAGGATATCCTATTGGTCAGAAAGCCTACAAGTTATATAACCTCACCACTCACCAAATCTTTACTAGTCGTGATGTTGTCTTCCATGAAAACATCTTTCCTTATCAAACCTCGCCTTCTTCTTCCCCTCAACCTGTGTCTTCACCTGTCCCACTTATTTCACCTCACTTTCCTGATCCCGTGTCACCCCCCGACCCTATGATTCCCCTTGCGTCGTCCCCTTCTGCTGATGCCGGCTCTCCCACGCCTCCTGCATCGCTTCCTGCATCTGCCGTTCCTGACCTCCCCAAGTCAGCGCCTGCTCCTACCCCGGTGCTCCGTCGCTCTAGCCGTCATTCTTCTCCGCCACCCAAGTTACGTGATTATGATTGTCCTACTCTCAAGCTTATCCAACCACATCCTCCATCGTCTTCGTCGTCTGGTCACACTCCAGGTACACGGTATCCACTAGCTAATTACCTTACTTACCATCGTTTCTCACCTGCACAGCAATCTTTCCTTGCCCATATTACTCAACAGGTTGAACCCCGGAGTTACGAGGAAGCTGCTCGTTTTCCTCATTGGCAAGCTGCCATGGCTTCTGAAATAGAGGCATTGGAAGCTAACCAAACTTGGTCCCTTACTTCCCTTCCCTGCGGCAAAACTCCCATTGGCTGCCGTTAGGTTTACAAGATTAAGCACCGTTCTGATGGCTCCATTGAGCGCTATAAGGCACGTTTGGTTGCCAAGGGCTATACCCAGCTTGAAGGTGTTGACTTCCATGACACGTTTTCTCCTACTGCCAAGATGGTCACTGTTCGGTGTTTATTGGCTCTTGCTGCTTCACGACAGTGGTTTCTTCATCAGTTAGACGTTAACAACGCTTTTCTTCATATGGGTTGAAACAAGGGGGAGAACTTGGTTTGTCGCCTCAGCAAGTCTTTATATGGGTTGAAACAAGCTTCCCGTCAATGGTTTGCAAAGTTTTCTAACTCTATTCAATCCGCTCGTTTTGAACAATCCAAGGCTGACTACTCGTTATTTACCCGGAAACAAGGCAAGTCTTTTACAGCCTTCCTAATTTATGTTGATGATATTTTGATTACGGGGAATGATTCGAATGCTATCGATGCCCTAAAACAGTTCCTTAATGGTCGTTTTAAAATCAAGGATCTTGGCAATCTAAAGTACTTTCTTGGGATCGAAGTATCACGTTCTAAGAAAGGAGTCTTTATTTCCCAACGAAAGTATGCTTTAGAAATATTAAAAGATGGAGGTTTTTTGGGAGCTCGCCCCGTTGAATTTCCCATGGAACAAAATCTTAAGTTATCAGACAATGGTGCAATTCTCAAAGACCCGGCACAATATAGAAGATTAGTGGGGCGCCTGAAATACCTAACAATCACTAGGCCGGATATAACCTATTCCGTGCATGTGTTGAGTAGGTTTATGCATGAACCTCGCTCACCACACATGGAAGCAGCCCTTCGGATTTTGAAATATATCAAAAATACACCTGGACAAGGTTTGTTCTTCTCTTCTGAAAATGATTTGGCCTTAAATGCATATTGTGACTCAGACTGGGCAGGTTGTCCAACAACACGAAGATCAACTACGGGGTATTGTATTTTTTTGGGCTCTTCATTGATTTCTTGGAAGTCAAAAAGACAAAAGACTGTGTCTTTATCATCAGCGGAGGCCGAGTATCGAGCCATGGCTGGAACTTGTTGTGAATTATCATGGCTACGATATTTATTGAAAGATCTAGGTATATTGCATCAAAGACCGGCTCTACTCCATTGTGACAATAAAGCAGCCCTTCACATTGCTGCTAACCCAGTTTTTCATGAGAGAACTAGGCACATAGAAATGGACTGTCACTTCATCCGGGATAAGATACAAGACGGTTCAGTTGTTACGAGATTTGTTCCTTCTTCCCATCAACTTGCAGATGTACTCACGAAGCCATTAGGGAAGGAAACTTTCTCAAAGATCATTCACAAGTTGGGAGTTCTCAATATCCACTCTCCAACTTGAGGGGGAGTGTTGAGAAGTCAATGATATCATTCCTGATATCTTGGCTTAGTTTTAGGAAACTATCTTGTAAATTGTTTGTAATTTATTTGTGATTATCTGTAAACCCTAGAATGTAGGATAGGTTACTTCTTCGGCAAGTACTCTCTTTGTATAAAGTCTCTTAGTATCAATTGAAGAAATTATCTTCTGCAAAATATTCTTTGCACTTTTCTACAGGAACTTCATAGTCCTCTGTTTAGCAGAGCCACCTTTTGTGGGTTTAAAAGTAGAGGTAGTTTTTCATATGCTGTTCGATACATCCACTTCCCACAATCAGAACCAATTAAGAGATCTTCCAAACTGTCCATTGTCTTCAAAAATGGATCTGTCCACACATCATGATCAGCCGTAACGTTCAGAAGGATGATAGTGTTGTTCAGTACATGCCCACAGGTCACATTCCAACAAAGGATTGCATAGCCCTGTGTTTGTGAGACATTGTGCTAATCTCAAAACTGGGGTTCCCCATTTGAGATTTGTTTTATCTGGGGGGTGGGGGATAGTGATAAGTGATTCGTTGTATATGGCCTTATCGTTAGAGTGGCTATAAATGTTTGTTAGGAGAGATTACATAGTTAAAGGCTTCCAAGCTTAGTAAAGCTTAGATTATAGCTGTATAAATAGCTCTGCAGCTCATTTGATTTGTAACGATTCCTGGTTTCGTTTTACTGAATACAGAGCCTTTCATTTTCTTGCTTCATTGTTCCTCTTTTCTTCTTCATTTTCTCAAATCCTTCAACGTAGCTAATAGTTTTGAAGTGTAATTCATTTCTTGAATTGAGATCATGACTGACTATATACATGTTTACCGGAGTTTTGTTTCAATACTAATCTTCTATCTGTTATTTCGTTTTCCTAAGTGTACTTTAGCATGTTTAACAGACTCCCATTAGTCCTCTATGACTATGACAATTCCTCTACTGCGGGACTGCTCCCTTGTTCGGACCGAAGGTGCAAACATTGCTCTGACGATAGCAACCAGTGCGAGTATAATATTCTGTATACGGGCGGAGCAGAAACCACCGGTTATTTCGTATCAGATGAGTTTTCTTTTGATATGATTCCAGTGCACTCTCAAGTTGCACATGGATCTTCAACACCCATTATTTTTGGGTGCGTAAACTAAATAGTAAAATGTCAAGCATCTGTTTATTATTAATTGGCTCAACTTGAAAATTCTCAGCATCTCTTTATTAGAGCTTAATTGTTGGAATTAATGCTAAATTGATATATATATATATATTTAGTGTACTTTGCCTGGTAGTGTTGCTACATAGCTAGTAGCAAAAGATGATGATGCTGAGTACATTATTTCCTTGATATTTTTGGAAACAGGTGTGCTACCACGGTGTCCGGTCTTTTGGCTAGGACTGAGGTTTCACTCAATGGGGTATTGGGATTAAGCCAAGGCCCATTGTCTGTCATATCACAGTTATCCTCTCGAGGGATAACTCCGAGTGTCTTCTCTCACTGTTTAAAGGGAGATGGAAATGGTGGAGGTATACTCGTACTCGGAGAGATTTTGGAGCCGAGTATTGTGTATACTCCCCTTGTCCCCAAGTAAGCACTATATCCTTGAACTTTTTTGTTTAATTGAAAATTTGATGAGTATTTTATCTTTTGCGTTAATATAACTATTTTTAACTACTATTTCAGAAAGTCTTATTATGCAATCAACCTTGAAAGCATTGCAGTCAATGGACAAATTTTTCCCATTGATCCATCAACTTTCAGAACATCAGATGAGCGTGCAACTTTTGTCGACACGGGAACCACTGTTGGCATTTTTTGTAGAAGAGGCATATGAACCTCTTGTCCATGCAGTATGTTCGTTTACTTTGTTTGATTGCCATTGTCAATTGCTATTCTTTTTTAACTTTTAAATCATTTCCGTTCTTGAGTGTGTGATTGTGCAATATCTCTATTCTTTGTTCGGAGCTGATTTTGTTTTTGTTGCTTGTACAGATAACTTCGGCTTCCAATTTTGTGTCTCTGATCATTTCAGAAGAGTTCCAATGTTATCTGATCTACACCAGGTTAGTTCTCTCTTTTTCACACAGAGTCACTCATTCTAAAAGAAAAACCAAGACATAATGTATTTCCATTAACCTTTCAGTTTGGGAAAGTACATTTCCTTCGGTCACACTCAACTCTGCAGCTGGTGCGTCATTGACTTTGAAACCACAAGACTACCTGCTATATTCAGGATCTCATGTGAGGCTTCCTAATTAACCAAAAGAAAAAAAAAAAAAAAAAGCTATTTGTTCAAAGCAAATGAATATTATCGTACTAATGATTGTATGGAATGTGTAAACTGAATGGTTCGTTCTATTCTATTGGTTACAGGTTGGTGCTGCCATGTGGTGCTTAGGTTTCAAGAAAGCTCATGGAGCAAGCCGGGGCTTCACAGTGTTAGGAGGTTAGGCCTCTAACACTACCGTGAAAATTTCAGAAAAATATTACAGTATTTAATGCTATTATTATTTACAATTACTATACTAAAAGTAGTTGTTTTGTAACTTGTATTGCAGATCTTGTTCTGAGGGATAAGATTGTGGTATATGATTTAGCCCGTCAACAACTCGGATGGGCTAATTACAACTGTAAGTCTAATTAAACTACTCTTTTCTTTTTTCTAATTTCCTTCCCATACACACTTAGTTGTTTGTTGAGTTTATGGTTAAACACTCACTAATATTTCTTTTCAGGCGCATCTCCGGTGAGTTTCTCTACGGCTTTTCATCCAGCACACCGAAGTGGAAGCAGTGGTTCATCAGCAGACACACTAATCAAGCTGCTAAAAACTGGGATTGTGCTCCTCTTGATGCATTTGTTCAATCTGTATATGTGATTTATACAACTTTCAGCATTCAAGCTTCTATGTTATGTGCACTGAGATAGAATCTTTGGGATTTGATTTCTATCCTCCTCTTCGAGATAGCAAATTAGCATAATGAAAGTGAAACTGAAATTACTCAAATACAAAAACTGAAGCATTATACACAGGCACCTGTGGCCCAACTTAACAGTGCTGCTATTGCCTTCTTCTTTAGCATGTACTTGTCTTATAATTTTCTGTTTCAGTTCATTCTTCCGAGTCATCTTAATTCGCCCCTTCCGTGTTTGAAATCATTTCCTTAATATTGAACCTATCGAGTTAGAGAAAGAAAAAAAAAACCCACTACGCAAATCATTAGAGTAATGAGCAGGTTAACAAAAGAACATGAGAAAAGAGAGACGCAGACTACAAAGAGGACAAGATAGAACTTTGGAACAATGTTTATGGCTTTGACATGAGCTGCATCAAGAAGCAAGCCATGATGGAGCCCCTTTCGGACACCGTTGACCAAAACCAAATTTTTACAAACAGTCAGCTACTCAAGACAATGGATATATCTTAAGATGACTCCAGGAGATGCTTCCTTCACGGTCCCCTTCAAGCTTGTCGCTGAACGTGATGATTTCATTCAGGCTCTTGTAGCCTATTTTGGTCTGTCGTTTACGAGTGTCAATAAATTGATGGGCTTCTCCACAGGGCCAAGATCACGGTCTACTCTCTGGAAGCAAACAGTATGTCAAGGAGAGTCAATTATCGGAACCATGACTGTGGCGCAAAACAAAAAGAATCCCCGTGATATTGACATAATGCTCAAGTAATCGCTAAATGGTCGACGATGCAGAGTCTTGAGGGTTCAATGCTACAAAATGCACTAAGTTCCGTTTTGTTATTGTTCCATCAAGAAAGCAATTCATAAGTGCAAGAAACTCAGTGTTCTGGACTGTTGCCTCTCATTAGATGTGTGCTAGGAGGCAGGAACGCCATAATTTGTTGCCTCTATTTACAAATAATTATTCATTTCTTAAAATTGTAACGTCAAAATTTTGATGCTAAAAGGTTTTGAATTGATCTATTAAAAAAAAAAAAAGAACATGAGAGAGGTAAAAACTAACGCAACAAAAAGATGTATCTATGTTTAGACCTGTAAAATAAAAATATATTGCATTCATCAATAACCTTGAAGAGCACTAAAAAGAAGGCGAAATATGTATTTCAATTGCAATTCTATGTTAAGGATGATCACTGGAGCAATCAGAAGAACCCACTCATCATTCCCATCTGATACAAACTAGACTTTCCAAGTAGCATGAACCTAACCTTGACATGATAGTATGAACAAATTCATGAAAACAAAGCTGAAGCGGCACATTAGAAAGTTAGAGAAAAGGGTCTTTCCGAAAAAACCCTAGACTCCCTTTGCCAGAAAGCCAAATCGACCCAATTGCATAGACTCTGAAGTGATTTGCACCTTGAAAAATATAATCACCATAAACCATCTAAAGCCTTTTCCAGAAAACGACAGAAAACAAATATTATCTGTGTATAGACAGGAAAGAAATTTCAAACACTGCATATAGTTATAAGTTTGGATAGCGTATAATGCGAGATCAAATCTTCTACACCAAAATGTGTGTGGCATTTGGGTGGCACCAATTATTGTTTGACACATATTAAATTTATACAATAAAGTTAAGATTTTTTTAGACACATATCAATCAATGACTTGGAGCTACAGAGAGGCTACATCCATATTAATTGCAAAAGATTTGATCTCGTATAACACAATTGGCATAGAAATTAAATTTATAGATTGACTCAAGATCTAACTAATTTTAGACCCCATATTATTTAAGGCATGAAATAGAACTAATATAGTTTGGAATCTGATTCGGGCCAACTAATTTACTATTAATGTTCAACAAATTGTAAAACTTGCAAAACTCATGCATGAGACAATTCGTTGAACCAACCTTATACAGATATGCAATTATTACAAAAATATTTTCAGCTTCATCCAACCTTACCAAGACCTATAGTTATTGAAAACAATTCTCAATTTCAACTATATATACTCGTAGATTTAGAGAAGCATAGCAATTCATAAATTAACTTTTGCACCGCACTACACAAGCGCACAACAATTATAGTCATTTTTCTCTAGTATCAAGCTGGTTTTCCTTGTTGCTTTATTGGTCGCATCTGTTAGTAAAATACTTTGCTCGAATAATTTTTTTCACTCATTAACTTTTTTATCATATTTCCCTGGTCGACTTTTCTCTTTAAAATTGTGCAACTTGCCACATATATTGTATTATGCATGTGATATTTCTAATTAATAATTAAGGAAATATTTGTGGTAGGTGTGCAACTTGGAGTCGAAGCAGTGAATCTTTGGCAACCTGATCTCTGCACAACACCTAAAGATTGCGATAACCCCGCCAAATGTAAATGCAGCACGGCTGGTCTCTGTGTTTGTCCCAAGGAAGTGGTGAAACTAACGTCTGCAGCCCATCTCCATACTCGGAAGAGCATAAGGAAACCCCGGAATCAAAAGTTTTTAATTCTCACATTATATAAACTATTTGTGCGGTCCTATTAAACCACACAAGTTACAAATGTGAGGACTATTTGTATAATCAATAAATAACACCAACTTATTTATAGTTGCTGCACAGTCTTGAGGGTTCAATGCTACAAAATGCACTAAGTTCCGTTTTGTATGTAATTGTTCCATCAAGAAAGCAATTCACAATTCCTATACCAATATTATAAAACATTATTTCAAAAATATGAGGTGGCATAGAGTCCATGAAGAGTCCCACCTTGAGAGAGTTTCCTTAGCATTTTCTAAGCCTCCGTCTCATAGTCGCATTTTCTAACAGGAGCATTTGTAGGTCTTCGATTTACATGTTCAATTAAACCACCTTAACCGATTTTCTCTCATCTTATCTTCAATTGCAGTCACTATTACTTTATCTCGGATATTCTCGTTCTTTAACAGGAGCATGATTAATAGTTTATTTTTTTTAATCCTCTTTAAACTCTAATTAGGAACTCATTTAGGTTTTTCAAACTCATATTTCACTGCATTTTCATTGTATTTAATTATGAGTATGCATTAAATATGATATTGAATTGCATGAATTATTTCTTAACTTTTATGACTTTAAATTACTGATAAACAATAAGGTTGATATTTAATTTAAGCAATTAATCAAATTGAGATTTTATCTAAGAAGAATACACCTTTTGAAGCTGTCATTTTATGCAAGGGATAAACCATCTTTTTTCATAAATGATCTTCTTAACATTTTTCATAAATCAAATGTTTTGGACGCTTTATATTGTGTTGGGCACACAACAAAATCTACCATCAACACCCCCTTAAAAAAATTAAACAAATCACACCTTACATATACAACAAAATATTGTGTTGGGACGCTTTATATTGTGGTTGGGAATAAAGAAATATGACGTGAAAGTTGAAACCTTTTACATATACACCAAATGCTATATGGCTGACTTGAATGCTCTGATTTGTGATTGTGTATACTTATTAGTGTTTTTTTTTTTTTTTTGTTATCTGTGAAGGAAATCCTTGATCTGTTGGCCGTACTGTAGAAAACAAAGAAGTTCCCATTTGCTGGTCTTGAAGACGGTGGAGATCAAAGGGGAAAGATTTTTTTTTTTGTTATCACCTCTCACACACTACTCTCAATTTTCAGCCATTGGATTGAATGAATTATAGAATATCAAAGGAAAGAAATTAACAAAGGTCTGTGGAAGGCAAAAAGGTGTATAGATACTAGATAGCTAGCCCGTACCATCCTTACCTATATAGCAAAGAGTAAGTGCAAGCTCACTTGAGAATACAAGTATTCTCCCCTTCTCCATGCCACAACCACAATACTACTCCCCAAATTAAAAGTAAAAGATACGGCAAATTCATGAGACTAGTAACACACAATGTTTTTTCTTTTCTTTTTTCTCACTCTTTGATCCTCAATTGAGGAATTTTGGTATTGTTATCTATACAAGTGTACGTATCAACAAGCAGCCAGTATGCTCAAACATACCACATCGGGATGTAAGTTGCCCGCCGGACCAGAACAAATTGGAAAAATAGAAATACAACAGGCGTGTGTGCTGGACTCATGTCTTCCGGCGGTCGTTGATTGCAACTATGGTAGAGTATGGATGAGGCTGACAATGAAATGATGTTGATTTGGAAATTCGGGAGTGTGGCGGCCTTAGTTTGGTTTCCGTACGTAGTTACCAGTTACATCTCAGATCAGATTTCTTTCGTTCAGTGTTAAAACTCAGTAACCCCCACAACTACTGAATAAGCTCGTTTCTTCCTTTACGAGCAAGAAATCGTTCCCTGGCTGCCTGTATTATACTCTCACGATCATCTAGAACTACTACAACAACATCCTCTCTCTTTGGCAAACTGGAAAGATTTCCCTCCGGTTGCTCTTCCATACGACCGATCCCACCACCGCATAAAAGGTTAAGGGTTCAATCTCCGCAATGTTCATAGACGACCTTGAATTAGAAACAAGTCATTTTCTACTTATAAGTTATAATGGTGTTCCTACGTAAACTGGCTTTACTTCAGCTTCTTGATATCTAGATTATTTACTTGTCCAAAATGGTGTGACCCAAGCAATATTTAGGGCACATACAGTGCGCAGGAAAGGGCGGGTCGTTGCAATGAGTTCATTGTACACCAGTCAGGCAATTTCCCTTAATCATCCGATTTCAG